TTGCTGTAATTATAAATTGCAAAACATATTTGATGTTCTTTTTTTTGTTTATTGGTATACTTTTTGATAAATTTTATCTGGAATTTGGAATTTTAAGAATGATTATAGAGCTAAAAACTTTCTAGTCGATGTAATATTATTAGTGATTCTAATTCTGTTACACACTTCGTTACATTACATATATTGATAGAAATTTGTTGAAATTATATAGTTTATTAAAAAAATTTACATATTTAGTATAATTATATACAATTAAATGGAAAAAGTTTTATAGAGCTTTATATATGAGATCTCAAAGTTTTCAAGTTTTGAATAACGAAAACAAAATTTTGCCAAAAAGCATTTTAAATGTTTGTAGTAATCGCCAGATTTTTAAATTCACTGAAAAATTCATTGAATATTTGTTGTTTTTTTTTTTAAATTTTAAATACTTATATGAAACAGAAAGAGCATGTTTTTCTCGTCTAAAATAATTGTACTGAATTTAAAATTGAATCATAGAATTATATTAAAGTTGCAAATATTATTTAGTTATTTATTTTGTTTTTTTAATGTAATTTTAAAAAGTAATAATTTTTATTAAGTAGCTGTAAGGGATAACTGAGAAATTTATATTTAAAGGAAGAGTTAGATTTTTATATTACTTAAAAATGTCTAGTATAATTTTTTAGATGGAATATTATTCAAAACATAACGGTTTTCAATCTACGATATATAAAATTTGATATAAGAATAATTGAATATTTGTTTGAATATAATGTTATTTGTGGAAAAAAAATTTTTGCTGTTGAGATTAATTAAAGTACCATGGTTTTTCAGGTTGTTATGCTTCAATTTATGTATTTGACGGCCACCAGTTACAGATTTACATTGCACTTCCTTAGCTGTAGCTAGGAACCATTGACCTGCCCTTGTTATTTTCGGGCTAGGCTCTGTGGGGGTAGACTTGCTATTAAAACTCTAGGTTTGCCATGATATTCATTTCGGTTCTTGTTGTTGGTTTTAAGATCGTTATAAATGGAACTGCTCTTCAAATAGTGGTGATCTCAGGTATTCCATAATGGCCTTTGTAACTGGTGGTATCCAGCCTTTCCAATGACCGGTTCTTCTTCATTGACGGCATATTCAGTGATGTCAATAAAGGATTTGTTTCTCTGAGCTATGTAAATATTAATTTTATTTTAAAATAAAAATTTCGCGACAAAATATTCAAATGAATAGAAAAAAAAGTCAAATACTTAATTGATAATTGTGTTTGTACCTTGGCTTTTCAGGTTGTTATGATTTAATTTATGTATTTGACAGCAACCAGTTATAGATTTACATTGCACTTCCTTAGCTGTAGCTAGGAACCATTGACCTGCCCTTGTTATTTTCGGGCTAGGCTCTGTGGGGGTTGACTTACTATTAAAACTCTAGGTTTGCCATGATATTCATTTCGGTTCTTGTTGTTGGTTTTAAGATCGTTATAAATGGAACTGCTCTTCAAATAGTGATGATCTCAGGTATTCCGTAATGGCGTTTGTAACTGGTGGTATCCAGCTTTTTCAAATGATTGGTTCTTCTTCATTGACGGCATATTCAGTGATGTCTATAAAGGATTTGTTTCTCTGAGCTATGTAAATATTAATTTTATTTTAAAATAAAAATTTCGCGACAATATTCAAATGAATAGAAAAAAAAGTCAAATACTTAATTGATAATTGTGTTTGTACCTTGGCTTTTCAGGTTGTTATGCTTTAATTTATGTATTTGACGGCAACCAGTTACAGATTTACATTGCACTTCCTTAGCTCTAGCTAGGAACCATTGACCTGCCCTTGTTGTTTTCGGGCTAGGCTCTGTAGAGGCGGACTTGCCATTAAAACTCTAAATTTGCCGTGATGTTCATTTCCATTTTTGTTGTTGGCTTTAAGATCGTTATAAATAGAACTGCTCATCAAATAGTGGTGATGTCAAGTATTTCGTAATGGCCTTTGTAACTGGTTGTATCCGGCCTTTTCAAATAATTGGTTCTTCTTCGTTGACGGCATATTCAGTGATATCTACAACGATTTGTGGCGGTGAGGTATGTAAATATTAATTTTATTTATTTTAAAATAAAGATTTTGCGATAAAATATTCAAATGAATAGAAAAAAAATTATGTCACAAATAATTGATATTTAGGCACAAATAAAAAGTAATGAAATACCCACTTATAGAAAAATGTATGTATGTGTTACATATGTAATTTACATTATACAGAATTTTCATGGAATACTTTATAGGTTTGTTTAGTTATTATTATGATAATAATTTGCCAATAGTTTTTTAGATTTAGAATCTTTAGACAGGCTTATTTTTAGATAAAGGTAATAGCTTTTTTGCATTTAAATTTAAAATAAATGTAGATGAAATGAAGTTTCTTTTGTAATTTACGGATTTGAAAGTATCGGCAATTAATGTTTTTTTTTTCATAAAAATATTAAATTTATGGAAAAAAATATTTTTGGTTTGTATCTTCAGTTTTTAGACTTTCATTGCATTTTCTTAGCCGTAGCTAGGAACTTTTGGCCTGTCCTTGTTATTCTCGGGCTAGGTTTTCTGGGGTTGACTTGCTATCAAAAAAATTAAATACATATTTTTCAATTATTATTAAAGAGGAAAATAATTTGGTTTCGATTCATATCAGTTTAAACATAATAAAATATGAATGCAGTAACTTACGATATTATCAAAACCGTGCTGTAGTCTTCTTATAAGAGTCTGCGCATCCAATAGGTTCCGGAGTAGAAAATCGTGGATCAATTATTTGACTGGTATTAAATCGTTGTAACAATAAAACGTAATTACAATGTACACATGTGTTTGTTGAAATATAATTATAAATTTAGTAATTTATAAATTTTGAAAAAAAAAATAATAGTACCTATAGATAGAAAATATATAATATTATGTGAAATGTATTAAATATTGTAAATAGACACGGAGTGAAAAATTTAAGGATTTTTGTCTAAAATATAGATTTTAAAAGAATATAAATCATATTTAAAACATGTATTAATATATTAAATACATTTTTTTATTTATTGGGATATTGGAACATTATTGGCAGATTGAAAATATCAGTGAAAGTTTATATTATATATTTTATATCTTAAAAGTTGTTAAATATAGAAAATTTATTTGAATAATTTCTGAAGGAGAAAATGGAAAAGTGTTTACAGGTTATAAATGTTCTTAATACATGATTTTTAATTTGAAGATGGGATAAAAAATAATAACAACATTAAATATTAAATTAATGATTTTGAGGCTAGGTATGTTGTTATATTAAATTATATCTCATTGAAACGAAATTCCGAAAAATCTATCCTTGTAAAAAAGGCAAAGTATATTAATCAGAAATTGCTCGAGGCATTTGGAGACAGTTTTGCCTAAAGTGATGGCATAGTATTTGCTCCATATCTGATAAAACTGCCAATTATGTTACAAAGGAAGCATCGGGTTTTTCAAATCAATAGAGTATAAAAAAATGATAAAATTAGCAATTATGAAATTGTATTATTTGTATAATTTAATAAAATACATTGTTATTATTTCCCTATATGAGACTGACATTGAAAATAAATTATTAAGGTTTTAATACATGATTTTAGATTTAGTGTTGAAAAAAATAATAACAAACTCATTAAATAAATGATTTCAAAGTAATATGAAATGTAACTTTTGGAAATGAAATGTGGAATAATATATCCTTCTATATAAGGCAAGGTATATTAAGAATTGCTCGAAAACTTATAAGGGCAGTTGTATTTAAAATGGTATAACGTTTGCCTGATATCTGATACCAAGTGCCAAAAATTAGAAGGAAGTATTGCTTTTTTCCATTTGACAGAAAAAATTCTCGTATATGAAAATTAGAAAAAAAGATATTATGGTATTGCACGATGTAGTTGAATCGCCAATATTATTTTTCCATAAAAAATAAGGAAACAAAATTGAAAGTAGACTTATTGAAATATATATATATTTTTTATTTCCGATTATACATTTGCTATAAATAGCAAAACATTTTCCCTAATCGAAGATCAAAACATGTTGTTTTATTAGATTTAAAGCAACTGATTGCACAATGCTAAATTAGCGTGTGCTCATGATCAATAGAAATATAGGGAAAATAAATAATTCTTGTAACAGAATAATTATAATCGAAAAAGTGTGTCTACTAAAAATGAAGTATTATATTGACGTACTTGCAAAAATGTTACAGGTAGTTAGTGTTTTGTAATCATAATATCTGTCTGGACTTTGTTAAAGGCGAGAATTTTAATTTATGACAACATATGTATCAAAATGTCAGATGGAAAAGGTTGACCTTCGCTAAGTTGAAGGAAATACTGAAAACATATTTAGAATAGTAGTTGAGATTATCAAATAGGGAAAAAGTTCAGTGACTGATCTTTATGAAAAATTTATCTCAAACTATACACAAAATTTAGAGAGATGTCTCATGAATGAGGTGGGAAATAAAATATTTCATAGGACCTCTCTGTATACAATATTTCTTGTATATACATTTTCGCTATTTGGTAAGAGTTTACCTTGTTGCGAGGATTCCTTTATACATATCTGAATATCTTGTAGATCTCTAACCCTAGAGAAAGCGACATACAGCTGTCCGTGCGAGAAGACAGGTTCATCCAGATATATCCCTACTTTTTGGAATGTTTGCCCTTGTGATTTGTGAATAGTCATGGCGTAGGCCAGACGAAGCGGAAATTGTCGTCTCTTAAGTTTAAATGGTAGGACGTCAACCGCTGTCTTTAAATCTATTCGAGGAATGAATACCCTTTCGCCAGTAGGCCTGCCTACACTATTTATTTTCTCTACATCTAGGTACTGATCTCCTAGTACTCGCACAATAAGTCTCGTACCATTGCACAGTCCTTTTTTAAGATTTAGATTGCGTAGAAGCATTACTATAGCACCTTCCTTTAGGACTAATTTGTGTGGTGGCATTCCGTTGGGGGTAAGGGAATTTAGAAATTCTACCCTGTAATTAGCTACTTCGGCTGCTGGATCGTCAGTGATATCGACGTTGTCAGCGCTGAAGTAAGTTTTACTTTCCCCTGGTATTTTATTTAAAATTGTTTGGTTAATGCTATGACTGGAATTGTTAGTAGGTACTAAAATTGCCTTCAGGGTAGCTACCGTAGGATCTACGTCGTCAAAGCAAAACTCTATAATGTCCTCTATTCGGTTGACATAGCATTCATGGGGAATTTGTATTATGTTACCATATGGTGTTCGTCTCAGTGGCTCTAAGGTCCCATTGCCTAAGTCTAGGAGCCATCTGGAGAACTCTTCATTTTCTTCGGCCCTTATGTTGGTACGTAATATATAGTTTAAAAACTGAGGCCAATGTCGACTGCTTTTTATGCAGGCGTTTACAATGGTACATCTATTTCCTCCGACAACGACTGGCAGTGTTTGTCTAAAGTCTCCTCCTAATAGCACTACTTTGTTACCGAAAGGCCTATTATCGTTGCAGATATCTCTTAAGGCTCGTTCGATAATATTGAATGTAAGGTTTGTGACCATCGATATTTCGTCTATTATTAGGAGGGGAGCCGTTGCTAGGCAGCGACCTTCCGCTGAACGTGGAGTTACGCCGCTTGTTGTCGTTTCATTAATGTCGAAAGGTAATTTGAATGTGGAGTGGAGAGTACGACCTCCTTTTAGTAGCGATGCGGCGATGCCGGTTGGAGAGGTTACCAGAACGGGCAACCCTTCACCGCGTAGTTTTGTGATAATAGTTTGAAATAGGTACGACTTGCCTGATCCGGCTGGAGCATCGACTAAGAAAAGTCGACGGGACTCGGTGGGATCATGAATGGCAGTCATTATCGCTTCGCATACGATTCTTTGTTCTTGGTTAAGATTGTCGTACATTTCTTGACCTTCTAGTCGTTCCGTTTCTACGTTAATGGGATCGACTTCTATTCTTATCTCTTCCGGTTCTGGTAAACCGTAGAGTGCTAGCCTTGTTCCGTTCAACAGTAAAACGGTTTGAATGGATCGTAAAGTTCTTTGAAGCCCTTCCTCGTCGGATAGGCCGCGGCGCTGAAAATCTTCCATAAAATGGGCTTTGAATTCTTCCCAAAGCGCTCGCGTATCCGAAATTTCGCAAAAGATTAGCATGAAGGCAAACATATTTCTCAGTTGTTGAGGCATATCTCTTGCGCAAGCTTCTCTTAGGGCTCTTTTCCATTCTGTGTCGTCGGCTAGTAAGTTGCGGTTTTGGCAAGCTTCTCTGAAAGTACCGTAAAGTACATTGTTTACTGTGCGTAAGTCCTCGTAGGAACGTGATCCCTGAACATGTAACAATAATAAACGTAGGTAGTACAGTTCTTGGTTCCTTACGCTTACTGAGTACATTCGTACCACGATTTTATCCGCACCTCTCTGTCTACGTTTCCAACGTTTGGTGCGTGTTTCCCATGTATAATGGTAAGGAATATCTATATATCGATATTGCCGAGCTTCGGCATCATTTTGATTAAGTATAAACCAAGCTGTTAATTGCGTGACTTCGTTGCGTTGCATGGCTTGTATTTCCAATCCTGGTTGGAATCTAACCATTTGCCTTTCTGGTAGGTGTACGCATAGTCGATATACGGTATGAGAATGTTTGTGCATGGGAAATTTATTAATGTGCCAACAGGCTTCCGTTGGACTCATATATCTGCCATTGAGGAAGTTTTCTACTTCATTGTACTCGTTTGTATTATCTATGTTGACTCTTAGGAGTGCCATGTCTGCTCCTTTGAAAAAGTACTTGTATAGATATTTAACACTGTGCACGCTGGCGCATGCCTCTACGTTGATATGGCAGTTGTATTTTAGTAGGGCGTATGGGTTGTACGGTACGATCCAACGGTTGTCTAAAACACAATTTCTGTTATTAGCTCTTACCGTAATAGTTCTACCATTATTCGGTCTTTTGTATTCAATCTGCCCTCTTTGTGATACCGTAGTTTTTTCACAGAACGATTTAGGATATTTTTTGGAGCATTCTCCATTGACCATACAGACTGACTGAGGGTTTAATTCACCACATGGTCCATGCACCATGCAGGAAGTTACTATTTGGAATAGCTCGGGTTCTGTTTGTGGATCGGGTATTTCTGCACTAATCATGGCATCTATTTTTAAAATATCGGTCAATCTGTCCTCATTTCTTAGGATCAGTAAGTTATGACAGTGAGGTAACCCCCTCTTTTGGAATTCAATGACATAGAGATTGGCTATCGGTATACCAAACACTTGGGATTTAAGCATGTCTTCCATAAGTTCGTCTACTTTACCCTGAAATACTCTGTCTATTAGAGAGGGATGGTCGTTGGCTAAGTGACCTCTGGGAATATTGTCTATAATTTCCCTCCAATGAGTATTTGTGGTCATGGTGAGGAATATACTGGGGGTACCATAGCGACCTACTACTGCCATGGCATACTGAAATAATTGTTGTTGGTGCCGAGGAGAGCCGACAAAAGTAGAAGGCAAAATGATCATCCTGCCTAATGTCGCGCCTTCGTCTTCCTCGTCATTATTTTGTATTGTGCGGTGAAGGTAATCTGCCAGTCCTACATATTCAGCCGCTCTTAGCCGTTCTTGATTGGCTAATATATATTTTAGGCGGTTATTTTCTATTTTAATGTAGGAAGCTACAGCAAATTGTTGAGTTAATCTGCCCCCATAGTGGAATCGTTGTTCGTTGTCCCTTATGGCTAAGCGATAGGCAGAGTATTCGCAGAGAGTTACATTGCGTGCATTATTTCTATGAGGAATGCCTATGTGCCAACCGGGTTCACCGTGAGGGAACAGAAGGGGAAATACCAGGGGATCGAGCAGTTCGTTCTCTTCGGTGACGTTTTGGAATCTGCCCGGTTGATTACGTACGTATATACGCATATTGGGTGTTGCGAGAGTGTCCGGTAATATATTGTAAATGGCGGCAACTTCTTCCACCACTGGTAAGTCATACTGACGTCTGTTAGCTCCGCGAACACTTAATAGTTCTAGAGTGACTGTGGGCATTTGCAGGGGCAGCGGCTCTATATTGTTTCTAATCGCCTCTGCTCGAAGTCTGTCGATAGTCTGTAACTCAAAATTATAACGGTTACATAAATGCATATAAGCTGTTGCGTAGGGATTAATATCCCTAAACAATCGCTCTAATCTGGTAATTAATTCTCTGTTTAAAATACCATTATTATTATCGTATCTTTGATTTGCGGCTACCTCTGGGTCAAGAAAGTAGATAGGTCCAAAGCGTTGTACCGGTTGGTTAACATTTACATCGGATATGTGATGGTACATTTTACCCTGAATCGCGTATACTGGCGGTGCCCGACCTAAGGGTAAATCTCTTAAATTAGCTTCCAAGGACACAAATTGAAAGGCATGATTGTATAAAAGTACAAACCTTTTAAAATTATTAGATAAAGGATGGGTACCTTGGAAAAGCTGTTTAAGCAAATTGGGTAAAGCTGGTAAAGGATCTAAAATAACATTACCTTTATGACAACATTTAGAGTAATGATTACGTTTTGTAATTTCTGTTGGAAAATAGAGAGCAAAACAGTATTCGCACAACCTATTGAGAGGACCCAAGTACGAAACTCCACGTCTTAAGACACGTTCGCTCGCCATGAGGTATGTAGGTATGTGGTTACCTACGTTCCGTAATCTGTATATTTCCAGCTCAATTTCCTCCCTAGTTGTTGCACGATTGGGTTGGCCAACATTTTCAGGAACATTTTGTTCGATGTTGGCAAGTGTTGCCTCAATAGCTTCCATCTGAGAATGTGTGAACGGAGGAAGCATTTCGCTATAGTCCTCGTTCAATATTTCTATATTGTCTGGAAAGTAAAAAAAAATGAGAATATATTGATAGGCAAAATAATTTGATGCAATACTTACCAACTTGAATTAAATCCCAAACTTCTGATTGCGTTTCAGCGGCCCGAGTTGATTGATTTAAATTAACGTTAACAGGCACTTTCTCGTGACCGTCGTTGTTTTTGTCATAGGTTGTATTATGCACTATAGCTTTTACGGTTATTATTTCGGCTACATCATTTTCAGAATCATCAGAATCATCTGAAAATGATCTTTTCCTCGTGTTCATAGGTAAAGCTATCATAAAAAGTTTATATTTAATTAGAGTAACAAAGAATGATTATTTTATCACAAACAGCTGTACAATTTTATTTTGTTTTATAAACCAATGCTTAAATATAAATTTATGTTCATTTAATTTTTAACTTTGATTCTTACAAAGAAAAAATTTTAAGAATGTTCTGAGTTGTTGTAAATCATAAAATTTTAATATTATTTATTCCTATATGATACATTTTGAGTCATCGATCTGTTGTTTTTATAATAATATTTAATTTACAGAGGATCTTTTATCTGCTTCTTAAAATTTTTATATAAATTGTCTATACAGGGTGATTTAAGTGTAATCTGGATAACTTGTGGAATCGATAGGTTAAAATAATGTTCATTCATGATATAAACTTATTTCCTAAATTGCATCGTTTCGACGATAGAGGGCGTTGAAGTAAATTTTTTTCCAGCTTTTCCCTCATAACTTTTGAACCATTCATCTGATTGAGATGAAATTCGGTGCACAAACACTCCTTATGGTCTCATAAGCTTCTTAAGTTTGAACCACCTACCTCATTTAGAAGTGTATTTTGTATACTACCTCCCTCCTACAGTATTTCAAAATTTTTAAAAAATTATATTAATTTCAATAAAACAGCTGCACACCACTTTTGTCTCATTAATGTTGCAACTTTTTCGTCTCTTGTTTTCTTTTCGATATTTGGCCTTGTTTCTGAGATATTCAATAAAATCCGTGACAGTGTAACGCCCCAACGCGTAAATTTCATGTGATGTTATAGCAACCCATGAAAAACAAAACTCATAATGATTTGTATAAACTAACGTTTGTGAAAATCATCGTTAAAAGTATTTTTAGTGCTAAGAAAAGAAAAAAATTCCTACGTCAACGCCCTCTATCTCCGAAACGATGCGATTAAGGAAATAAGTGTATATCATGAATGAACATTATTTTAACCTGTTCTATCGATTCCTGAAGTTATCCAGATTAAACCTGAATCACCCTGTATAGATAAAAAACATTTGTATATTAATTAGTTCCTAGCAATAATACAGGGTGGGCCACCAGTAACGCCTCGGTCGCTAGGGACTAAACGGCAAATGTTATAGAAACCTGTTTAGGTGGGTACAAATATACAGGGTGTCCAGGAAAAGCGTACCATATCAAAGTTTAGTATTTTTAAATGGAACACCTTGTATTTTACTACATTTTTGAAAGCACTGTAAAAAAATAGGTGAATGTAAAAAAATAGGTGAATTTTATTAAAGGTTGTGCATACCTAGGACTTATTGTTTGTGAGATATTTAAATTTTGGTGAAAAAGCTGGCTTAGCGTAGAAATTTAATGTTAGCAATAAAAAAATAATTTTAAGGAAGCAGCTTTTAGATCCCTGAAGTTACAAATTATTATATTTGTCGTCACTTAGTATTGAAAAAGTTTTAAATTTCCTAACTTCTAGAGTAAAAATACACTGAGTGTCCCATTTAAAATAACCAAGTTATTGCTGTTTAAAGTTGAGAGAAGTATTCAGCAATTTTTTGACCACCCTGTACAATACTAAGTGACGACAAATATAATAATTTGTAACTTCAGGGATATAAATTACACTCTCCAATGCTGCTTCCTTAAAATTATTGTTTTATTGCTAACATTAAATTTCTACACTAAGCCCGCGTTTCACTAAAATTGAAATATCTCACAAATAAGTCCCATGTATGCGGCACCTTTAATAAAGTTCACCTATTTTTCACGGTGCTTTCAAAAATGCAGTAAAATTCAATTTAAAAATACATAACATTGATATGATACGTTTTTTCTGGACACCCTGCATATTTCAAAATATTTTTAAAATCAGCCGTAATCAATCTACACATACCCACCAAAACAGGTTTCTATAACATTTGCCGTATATATATAAATGTTAATATACAGGGTGAGTCAGTTTTTTGTGGTAGGATTTTAACAGTTGATAGAGATTAATGTTTTAATAAGAAAAGTTCCTATAAACGTAGGTTTTAGAACGCTTCGTTTGTGAGATATACGGTGTTGAAAACAAACTTTTTTAAGAATTTTTCTTATTACCTCTAAAAGACCAACAGATATTAAACTGAAATATAGTATTAATAACACATTAGTCATGGTGAATAAAATAAAGATATCTGTTATCCATTTCATCCACCAGTGACGTGCCTGAGGAGGGTTACTGCACCCTTTAAAAAAATAATTCGGACGCCAGTGAATTTTTCTGGAAAATAACATCATTTCCAAATTTTTTAATCAATTCTGAACAATTTTTTATAAAATTAACGGTTTTTGGTTAAATTCATTTGGCATGAAACTATTCCAACGATATTGGTACCTAATACATTTGTGAATTAATAAGAAAAACTGAAAATCAACAAAAACGATTGAATGAATAATAACAGTTGATAGAGAATCATTTTTTAATAAGAAAAGTTCCTATAAACATTGGTCTTAAAACGCTTCGTTTGTGAGATATGGGTATAGAAAACAAACATTGTTAGGAATTTTTATCGTTTTTGTTGATTTTCATAGTACATCGTATTTTTCTCATTACAAATGNGATATTGGTACCTAATACATTTGTGAATTAATAAGAAAAACTGAAAATCAACAAAAACGATTGAATGAATAATAACAGTTGATAGAGAATCATTTTTTAATAAGAAAAGTTCCTATAAACATTGGTCTTAAAACGCTTCGTTTGTGAGATATGGGTATAGAAAACAAACATTGTTAGGAATTTTTATCGTTTTTGTTGATTTTCATAGTACATCGTATTTTTCTCATTACAAATGTATTATCAATATCGTTGGAACAGTTTTATGCCAAATGAATTTCACCAAAAACCGTTCATTTTATAAAAAATTGAAAGAGAACTGTTTTGTTCAGAATTGATTAAAAAATTTAGAAATGATGTAATTTATTTTCCAGAAAAATCCACGGGCGTACGAATTATTTTTTTAAAGGGGGGCAGTAACCCACCTCAGGCACGTCACTGATGTGTGAAATGGATAACAGATATTTTTGTTTTATTCACCATAACTAATGTGTTATTAATACCAAATTTCAGTTCAATACACGTTGGTCTTTTAGAGATATTAAGAAAAATTCTTAAAAAAGGTTTGTTTTTAACAACCTATATCTCACAAACGAAGCGTTTTAAGACCTACGTTTATAGGAATTTTTCTTATTAAAAAATGATTCTCTATCGACTGTTAAAATCCTACTACAAAAAACTGATTCACTCTGTACAGGGTGGTCCCGAGGTAATGGGCCAAAATTCATGAGTAGAATCCCCAAGCAAAAATATTGCGATATAGCCGAACTTATTTTAGTCCAAAAGTTGATAGTTAAAGAGATACAGGGTGTACAGATATCCTCACAATTTTTTGGGGTGTGGAGTTCTTTGGATAGAGGAATTGACATCTGTTCACATTTTGGTTAAAGTTCATAGAGGGCGCTAGCTGCAATAGATTGAATGTGTTAAAAACGACATAACTTTTTTGTACTTTAAGGTATATCACTTTTGGTATCAAATTCTTATTTTCCAATATTTTTTACACAAAAAAGGTATGCTTTATGTAAGTAGCTATCTCGCACCGTTTTCGAGATATGTATTTGGCTTTGAAGCTTCTATTGCTGTTGCATTAAGTTACAATTAAGTGCCGACAGGTATTATTAATTTAGCGGAAACGTTTCTTAAGTAGAATTTGGAGGAAAATCAAATAATTGACGTTTTTGTCAATTGTCTTATTGATGTCATTTGTATGCTAATTTCTATTAAATATTATTCGTACCTAATTAAAATTACATCTTAGCTTAAAATTTAAATTGTATACTTGTATACATAAATGTGGAATAGAATGCCGAGATTTTCGTTTTTGGAGTTACATGAATTCAGTTGTTTATGGAGAAACTATAAACACTTGAGAAGAACTTTAGCAGCAGATTTTAACTGCTGTAACGTCATTTCGCGTTAAGGATTTATACTTTAAAATAAGACAATTTTTTATTAAATGCGATGATAAATGTATTGAATTTAGAGGTGGACATTTTGAGTAATTAATGTCAAAAAGGCATATTTTTTACTAATGTTTACTATTTTACTGTTCATTACAATTTTTTATTCTAAATAAACCCTTGTTTTTGACATTTCTAAATTATTTTCATTATTTCAAGTGTTTCAATGCCAAATATATCAGAAATATATCGGAAACGGTGCGAGACAGCTACTTTCATAAAGTCTATATTTTTTGTGTAACAAAAGTTGGAAAATAAGAATTTGATATCAAAGATGAGATACCTACCTTAAAGTACAAAAAAGTTATGTCGTTTCCAACACATTCAATCTACGGCAACTGGCACCCTCTATGAACTATTACCAAAATGTGAACAAATTTCAATTCCTCTATCCAAAGAACCCCAAATTCCAAAATTTTGTGTAGATATTTTTAGATTTATTAAGAAATAAATGGAAATAAACTAAAATAATATTTTACATTTAACACCCTGTATCTCTTTAACTATCAACATTTAGACTAAGGTAAGTTCGGCTAAATCGTAATATTTTTGCTTGGGAAATCTACCCATGAATTTTGGCCCATTACCTCCGGACCACCCTGTATTTAGTGTAACAAAGATTTATTTTTTATGAAATATGTTAATATTATAAGTATTAGGTATGACTCTTTAATCCATAAGGTGCTAATGTTTTTATAGAATTATTTTACGACAATGAGTACTAATACTCGTATATATATTTACCTGAGGTTGATATTCCTCTTGAAGTAGAAGGTCGTGATTCCGAAAAGTCTTGTATAGAACCATCATTTAGTTTGAAAACATTATATTTTTGGGATTTGTTTACTAATGGTTGAATTATTTCTTCCTCGTCCTCAGAGGGTTTCGTAGAGTAATAGGAAACTCTAGTTTTACCTTTCTCAACATTAGTAGTTAAATGTTTTTCGGGAGGTTTAATACAAATATTTTGTAAAATTTGAATTTTTTTCTGAGGAAGGGAACTATCAGTGACTGTAAATGGTTCTGAGTTAACAGAAATATTATTCTCAGGTAACTGTAAATGAGTAGGTGTAATTTTGGGACGTGTGGATTGACCTTTAATATCGGTGCCTTTTCGTTGGGTTAGCCTTTTTTTGCCTTTTTTCGGCATTGCGAATCAGTAAGATTAGCTGTAATAGAACAAAATATGTTGTACAAAATATATGAGAATATTTAGATCTTATCAGCATTCTAAATAGTGATATTAGTTTGTTACATCAGTGATTTATTGTAGAGGTTTTATGAGGAAGGAAAAGAATGTTATAAAAATGATGGTTTTTGTTCTTCGGAAATCATCAAAAATGTTTAGTTTAATTTATTATGTATTAATAAGTAGACGGATAAAAAATTATTAAATTATTAGTGGCATACATGTTGGTAATTGTTATAAATACAACAAAATAAGAATTTTGAATGAAACTACGCAAGGGCGTTGACAGCCATTGGGCTAGGGGGGGGGGCAAAATAAGAGAGACGATGGGAGAAATATAAATTGTAAGTAGAAATAGGAACAGTGAATTAATTTTTTTTAAGTATTTTTAATAAAACATTTTCAATACAAAAAAAAACAAAAAAAATACAAATAACTAAAAAATAAATAAAATCAACGAAAATTAGGTAAAACAATCTCGAATTTTTTGAAAATTTGTCTACCAATTATTAATAACATCTTCATGATTGTCAAAAATAAGCTTTCTGTGTATACTCATCATTGCTAAGCCATTGAAATGATTTTGTACCATAGTATTTCTTAGCCAGGTTTTTATTCTTCTTTTTTTTTAATTTTAAATTCCAGAGCTAAATTTTTAAAATATGGAAATATAGAAATGTATTACTTTTTAACACAAAATTTTACATTTTTAAATTCTTTTTTCAACAAATATTGTAATTTTCAAAATTTTCAAGTTCAAGTAGGTAAATAAAACATTTTATTAAAAATTTCCAAAGTAATATTTTCTTAGTTTAAGAAAATGATTATACCTACTTTTTTAGAATTTGTAGGTGGTCGGCAGCCACCCCTTGGCGACGCCCTTGAAACTGCGTAATGTACAAATAGATAGTTTATTAATTTTTTGAACATGTTTTGAATTTTTTAAGATTGAAAATTTTAAATTTATCTTATTAATATTAAAAGTGAATCATGTTAAAGTTATAATAGTAATAGTAAACGAAAAGAAACGATTTTTATCAAAATTAATTTAATTTCAGACGTACTTTTGGTAAGGGATAAAATTGAAATATGATTCTGTTAAATTAACTTGAAAAGATTATTTTAATCTTAACAATTCAAAATTAGCCTTTTTATATTTTTTTAATATAATTTGACAATTTATTATAATATATATATTCGAAAAATATTCACTTGAAATATATAAAATTTCTTTAAATGTTTGCCTTTGAAATCAGAAAATTTTCCAAACTAACAGTATTTTATTACGGAAATTTTACAGAATGTTTTGTAAAAATGTATATTTTAAATGAATTTTAAGTAATTTAAAGTAATTTTAAGTAATGAAAATAAAACAGTATTAATAAAATTATAAATTTGTTAAAATGTATATTCATTATACAAAAAAGGCCGTTCAGCTTTAAAATTTTTAATAATTTATTAAAAGCTTTCAATGTCTTGTATCTTTCCAATGAGAGAATATTAAATTTAAAGGTCTATCTAGTAATAAAATATTGTTATTCTTTATGCATGCAGACGCGCCCACATATACGTGCACACACACGTATGCAGGCGCGCGCACATTTTTTATTCCAATATCAAACTTTTGGAACAGGTAAGTTTTGCAAAAATAATTCTTCATAAGTGCAATTCAAGAAAATTCAATATTTGAGATATAGGGCGGTAGTTATATTTTAAAAAATTATATTCTTGAATATTGTCTGAATGCATTTCATAAAATAATTGTTCTTTAAGAAATGGTATTGTGAGTAATTTCAGTGATACATCGTTGAGAAATCACAAATAGTATTGTTTTTCCAAAATAAATACTCCGTATCTCAAAAATAAGATTTCTTTTAAATTTTGAGGTCTGCCCTCAGATAAAGTTTAGCATGTGTAATTTAGGATATCTGTGTATTTATTTTTGAAAAACATTTTAATTTTTTGTCTTACCTATACGTTTAAAAATATAGGGTGCTAATAAAATATAGGTTGGTCCCAATTGTGTAAGCTAAATTTTACTTTTTAAATGAGAAAATCCGAAAATAAAAGAAAGAAATTACAAATATGTCTGAGGTGTTGAATTTGATCTTGAAACCATTTTTTTATTATTATTGAAAAGGCCCCGAACATAAGCAAATGAGAACTGACAGAGAATTTAATGTTTTATCTATTTTAATAGAAAACGAAAATAAATTTAATTTTTGTATATACAAAAATTGCCATTATGTTCTTTATATTTATAATTATATAATTTTTGAGTGGAAGTCATTGAAGCTAAAAAAACAGTGTTTGATTAATTATATAGGTAATATTTTTAGTCAGTAATGAAATCAAGACATTTTTTGTATACAAAGTTTAAATATCAAAATTGTAGTAGCGCGAAAATAACACATCGTCCTTGAATAATTTAAGTTTATATACCTACAGTTATTTTGACATAAAGAAAAAGCGATATGCTTGTTTTGAATTTATTTTACTTTGAAGTATTTTAATGTACCTATTTAAATAGATATTTAAAAAAATGTTTTTACAAATTTTAATGTCAGCGAGCAAAGTGCAATTTTTAATGTCTTTTATTTTTAAAGGGAACGTTAAACTTTAAAAGACCAATAGTAGGTATTATTAAAATATTTTTTAAAATCCCAAGAATATAGGAACGATTCTTCATATTGATTTTGATGGTACACAGGAATATTTTGAGGGAAAATGTATTTAAAAAATTATAAATAAAATTGGGACTTACCGTTACCGAAGAATAAGGCTATTGAAGTATGAATAACTATGTCGTTTTGAAAAAAACGATTAGAAATAGAAGATAAAATTCACGATATATTCACAGCGCAGTGAATTATGCGAATAAAAGGAACGCGAAGCAATAAATGGCGTCGTTTCTTATTTATGACGCTATTGAAAAATGAATTTTGCCGCCTTGATAATTTGTCTTGTTTATAATTGTATTGATCTTATAACTATAAGATGGTTGATATGCATAAATTGATAATGAATATATATGTTATTACATGTCTGTGAATCTAAGAAAATATATGCATATTTATATAATGTATATATGTATATTTTTAATAATATTAATATATATAGGTGTAATGACGATATCATTATAAAATAAATGTAATAACTTTCTATGTACTAAAAATTACTATCTATCAGTATACATCTGTGATTGAGATAATTGCAGGAAGGAACTATAATCTCAAATTATACAGAAATGTCATGGACTTAAACATGAAAGCTTATTGGCTAATCGCAGAAGTAAGAACAAATTTTTGACAGTTCAACCAATAAGCGCTCGCGCTTGAGGTCTATGAGTTTAATATACAACGATGTAAACAGATCCGGGAAATTATTTAACTACCATTCTTTTACCATTTTTGATTCAATGATAATGCATAACCTTAATATTATCAGTTTCTGAAATCTATATAAATAATGTATTAGAAACGGAAACAATCATATTGCAGCAAGGAAAAGAATATAATCATATATGGAAAGTAATTGTAATATTATAGTACTACAGTGAAAATAATAAATATGTTTATTCCCAAAGTTTATGGGAAATGTTTTTATTTGAAAACTGCTTTGAAAAGGTAACTAATATAATTTAGCATTTTGAAGTGGCATTTTTAGGTCATATAATAATTTTTCTATATACGTGTACTTGTTCTATAGTCTGACTAATATTATATTACAGTTTCCATGAAATCGGAATATAGTAAATACCCAGCTAACATTTTGATAAAAATTCCTTTTTAATGAAAATTATTGGATATTTATTAAATGCAGGTAAGAGAAAATGTGTTGTTTAATTCATATTAATAATATTATGCAATTTCAGGTTAATGATTTTTAGAAGAATAAAAAGTTTCTAATTTAGAGTAAGGTTACATTAAAGATGTAACTAAAAGTTGTGGGGAGGTGCAACATTCATATTTTATGCTAGGCACTCATGACCTTAACCATAGCACTGGAGACATTATTTAATCGTGATATGTGAAATATTTTGTTTGTGTTGCTGAAGAACTAAAATATTAATTGTGAAATTAATACAAAAAATATATATATTTATTCTGTAGTATGTAAAAATACTGTTGACGTTGATTGTTGTGAGAAATATGAAATCCCACAAAGATAATGGATTGTAGATTCATCGTAAGTGGTAAAGATAAAATCTATTGTGGTAGATTAAAATTTCAATGTTATAAAGTTAAATTGAAGATATAAAAAAATGTTTTAATGCAATCGACATGTGATAGTAGAAGTTAAGGTTTTGTATTTAGAAAAATTAAATGTTATTTTAAGCACAGAAATTCTGGTACAGTACTAATGCAGTATTTATTCAGATGTATGTATTATTGATTATAATAAATAAAAAAGAATGTGTATTATTTACTTGAAATAATGTCCAGAGAATAATTGGAATAATACATTTATTTAACATTTGATTATATGAAGAATGAAAGAGTGGCACCTGATTGAACCTCCCGAAGTCAAGTTATTCTAATATGCTTAATTGTGCTTGTTTAAACACTTTGTTATAAGATAGAATATTAGTTTATTTTTTAGCAATAATTTAATCGTTTTATAGATTATTTAGAAGAAATTTATTTATTGGGTATACCATAAGCAAATGTAAAGTAATGTTTTAACTAAAACCCAGGTTGAAAGTAAATATTTGGATTTCGCCGTATCATAAAAAATAGAGAATAGAATTTTTTGCTTGTTGTTTATATGTAGGTATACTGTGTAACCTATAATATTTTATATTTTGTTTCAGAAAAATTTATTAGAAACGGTTTCATGATAGTCTCATAGTACCTACTTAAATTACTGATAAAATGTAGGTATCAACTTTTCCCTTCAATTGTTTCAGTTATCCTAAATGTGTTTTAATTATATAATATTCAAAGGTAAAGGACTTTTTTTTATTAATTATATACAGTGTATTTTGAAAATGAGAAACTCGGTATCATAAATTTTTTTTAAAGTAAAATAATCGAAAGAAAACTTCCTGAAGTTATGGTATAAACTAAAAATATCCACAGTGTTACTATTACATTCCATATATAGAGTATTCTTAGAATAAGAAAAATATCTTCAAAGACAGAAAGCTTGCTTTTTGAACGACATAAAAAAGATCTTATATACATATAATTTGAAAACTCCTCTAGTTGAAATTTAGTGGCTGTTAGTGAGAATGTTTCGTCCACATCTCCGTTATTGTGGTTGATATAATTATGTACTAAATTTGCTATTTAGTGCATAGACTTAGAATTTTTTTAGAACATAGCGTAGGACAAAGATCTCGATTGATAAAGAATACTTTGAGATAAAATTGCATGCATGGAAAATAAAAATCTGCATTTTTTGTGAAACAAAGTGTAAGTTCTCAAATTTGAAATGTTTAAGTGTGAATTAAATGGTCTGATAGAATGTCCAAAGTATTGATATGGAAATTGTGTTCCAAATAAAGTTGTTTGTACAACTAAAATAACATGATGGAAAATATGTAAATTTGACTGGAATATAATATTTACATAGTATTTTATTTTAATTTATTTTACATTTGACTAAAAACATTTGAAAATTATATACATACATATATTGAATTTAAATATTTCCAAAATGTAAAAAAAGGAAAAAACTGTAGGTAGGTGTATTATTTAATGACAATAAAATCATTTAGTTAGAAACATATTATTCAATACATTTTTCTCATTTCTGTGAATAACAAAAAAAATTAGAGAATGTACTGTAAGTGAAATAGCTACCTACCTTTATTTAAAACTGAATGGTTAATGTTTTTACATAATTTTTTTTGAAATGTCTATCAGTGTTATACAAATATTTTTATCCTTTACTTATTTTAGACCTGTCGGAATGAATTAAAACCTGAGTTTTTTAAGTGACAAAAAAATAGGTATATTTATTGAAACTACCTTCGAAAATTCGTCGACAAAAAATTGTATTTATTATATGTTAATTGAACATATGTATATATCTCTATATTTTATATAATATGCTGGTGGGTGTTTTTATACTGTATGCACAATGTCAAATTATATATGTAACATATAGTAGGTCAACAAAGATGTTTTATTTAAACTGGTCAAAATTTATTGATGAATTTTCCAAAGCAGGTATTTTCTCAATTTGTTTTAATAACTTTTTAACTTGTTTTACGTATGTACCTAAGTGAAAATATTTTTTTATTAAATGAAATTAATGTAATGTAGTTTGAAATAACTTTATTTGCCAGTTTTTTTAGAATTAGTGTAGTTGAAGCTACTAAATAGAAGGCGAGAATGGTTAAATAATAATCACATATCCCTGCTGTGAAAAATAAACAACTTGGAACAAAAAAAGACTAAGTTTTTAAGACAGGTCCCGCATCAATGAAATCTTTGATCTCAGGGAACATTCACAATTTTATAACCTACACTCGCGAAAATCACTTGTTCTTTAATCACTTTAACTGGTCGCTTCCTGGGGGCCCAAAATTTATTGAGGAATTTTCCAAAGCAGGAATTTTCTCAATTTGTTTTAATAACTTTTTAACTTGTTTTATGTATGTACCTATGTGAATTTTTTTTTTATTAAATGAAATTAATGTAACGTTGTTTGAAATAACTTTATTTGCCAGTTTTTTTAGAATTAGTGTAGTTGAAGCTACTAAATAGAAGGCGAAAATGGTTAAATAATAATCACATATCCCTGTCGTGAAAAATAAACAACTTGAACAAAAAAATACTAAGTTTTTGAGACAGGTCCCGCATCAATGAAATCTTTGATTTCAGGGAACACACACAATTTTATAACCTACACTCGTGAAAATCACTTGTTCTTTAATCACTTTAACTGGTCGCTTCCTGGGGGCCCAAAATTTATTGAGGAATTTTCCAAAGCAGGAATTTTCTTAATTTGTTTTAATAACTTTTTAACTTGTTTTAGGTATGTACCTAAGTGAAATTTTTTTTTATTAAATGAAATTAATGTAATGTAGTTTGAAATAACTTTATTTGCCAGTTTTTTTAGAATTAGTGTAGTTGAAGCTACTAAATAGAAGGCGAGAATGGTTAAATAATAATCACATATCCCTGTCGTGAAAAATAAACAACTTGAACAAAAAAAAGACTAAGCTTTTGAGACAGGTCCTGTATCAATGAAATCTTTGACCTCAGGGAACAGTCACAATTTTATAACCTGCACTCGCAAAAATCACTTGCTCTTGTAATCACTTTAACTGGTGGCTTCCTGGGGGCCCAAAATTTATTGAGGAATTTTCAAAAGCAGGTATTTTCTCAATTTGTTTTAATAACCTTTTAACTTGTTTTACGTTATGTACCCAAGTGAACAAATTTTTTTATAAAATGAAATTAATGTAATGTAGTTTGAAATAACTTTATTTGCCATAGTTTTCTTAGAATTAGTGCAGCTGAAGCTACTACATGGAAGGCGAGAATGGTTAAATAATAATCGCATATCCCTGCTGTGAAAAATAAACAACTTAACAAAAAAAGACTAAGTTTTTGAGACAGGTCCCGTATCAATGAAACCTTTCACATCAAGGAACATTTCACAATTTTATAACCTGCACTCGCAAAAATCACTTGTCCTTTAATAACTTTAACTGGTGGCTTCCCGGGTTCCTCGGTAGAAGTGTAGGTAATGTAGTGGTGGATTCTTGTAAAACACAAAACTTCCACACTGCATAGTTGTAACTGGAAAACTAAAATTTGTTAGATTCTACCAATGGCCGGGTAAAAAATATATATACTATACCTGCAGAAAGGGTTTTTGCAAGACACATCGGAGCAGATATTTATTTGTAGGTATTCTGAGCAAACTTAGAAGTGGCTTTTCTCAATACACAGGTTTATTTTACTCGACAGATGACAGGACTTGACAGATGGGGGCGATTCTACAATCGTCAGTGATCGAAAACGTAGAGATAAATGTTCAAGGTTTGTTAGGTTTGTTTGTTTAGACATATCGCAGATTTGTAGAGCAAGTAATCTTCGCCGGGGTTATTATTTTTTTTGAAGAATGGGTAAAGGCTATGTTAAAACTTGTAGTGTATTTACCGGTCCATAAGTTAAGTTGGAAGAATGTATTTAACCGACAATCCAGGTCACAAAGCAAACGTGGGGCCACGTACCTCATGGAAACGCCTATTCAACGTAATTTTCCTTTTGTGGAAAAAAAACCTGCGATAGGTTCAGAGACACATCGGAAACAATAGAAATCGTCCCACTTTAGCTTCTTTTACACAAATCGCCGCACGAAAGTTGAAAATTTTCAACTTTCCTAGGTCGAACGGAATGGCGGCCATCTTGTGACATTAAACTGACAGTCTGACAGAGGTTCAGAGACTTGCGAACTTTTTATTTTAAGGGCAAAATATGATCACTTAGAACCTGTTGGAACTGTTGTGGGGGGCGAATATAATTTTTTTCGGAAAACTCGAGGTATGGGAATATCGTCCATAGATAATTGGACAGGGGGAGCTGCACGAATGTCTCGTAAAAGCCGGGAAAAGTAGGTTCTCACTGTCCCAGCCGCGAAGAGACGCCCATGGCTAAACGCACAAATTTTATATCGCTAATGCCGGTCTTAAATTTTGTTACGTTCGACCTAAAAAAAGTCGATGGAGATATAGAAGAGAGAGATCGTCGCGACGCGTCGCCGGAAAGGCGTCTCGGGAGGCAAACGGAGACTTCCTCGGTCCTCGGACGCGGTCCGTACGCCGAGAGAAAGGCCAGGGCTTCGTCTTCGCGCAGAAAGCGAAGGCCGTTCGAGCGAGGGAAAAAAATTACGCCGTCGCGAAAACGGCGTTTTCGCCGAAATAATCCGGGCTTTATAAAATAATCGGGGTCTCGAGAGAGAGACGCGAGATGCAGACCCCTTTTGGAAAGCTAATTTCGGCGTTAAAAAGTAAAAAATACGCCGCAAAAATACGCCCGAGACGCTCGGAAAGGACGAAACTTTCGCGTAAAAGCGGAAGGAAGTCCCGATCCCTCCCGGGAAAAAAGCCCTCGGTCGGAGAAATCGACCCCGAAACGCTTCCGATGGAGGGCGTTTCCGAGTATCTGCGTCTCACTTCCCCGCTAAATGCCGCGGTCCGTCGCGCGGACGACCGGAAACGCGGAAAATTCGAGGGGAAAACGCGGGAAAACCCGCACCGGATCACCCCTAAGCAACGCGGCGAGAACGACGGGTCGCTTCGCGACCCAAATCTCGCGGCTGCGCCGCTCGCCGAGGGAGCCTTCGTTATGGGAACTTTTTGGGGGGCGGCCGTGCGAGCGAGAGTGCCCCCCACGTTTTAATATATATGACTAGAAACGTAGGCAAGTCGGCTACGCCGACTTGACGTTTCTCTCGGCCCTTCGGCCCTCCAGCGGCGCTGCGCGCCGCATGTGCACCGCTACGCGGAGCACTGTTTTGCTCGAATGGTTTTTAAATCATCAATACAATCATCCACGTTACTATCATCTACATCACCATCATTTACATCACCATCATCTACAGCGCCATCATCTACAGCACCAACATCTACATCAGTATCATCCACATCGCCATCATCTACATAATCATCTACATCACCATAATATTCTGCACTATAATTTCCAGCACTATCATCTACATTACCATCATCTATATCGTTATCATCAACATCACCATCATCTACATCTACATCGCCAGCATTTACATCACCGTGACCTATATCGCCATGATCTACATCACTATCATCTACATCGCCATCATCTATAGCGTCATCATCTACATCACCATAATTTACAGCACCATCATCTACATCAATATCGCATCATCTACATCTACACCACCATAATCTACATTATCATCATCTACATCGCCAGCATCTACATCATCTACATCACCATCATCATCATCACCATCTACATCGCCATCAATCCTCTGTCCTGGATCAATTTTATAGAATATGCAGTATACTGTAAATCTTCAAAAAACATATTATAAAATTGTTGATCAAAAGACCTCAAAAAAATAAAGTAGAATGAAATAAAAGTAATATGAATACGTTTGAACACCTGCAACTCTGACCTGGCTCAATTTTGTTGGAACATTCGGTATAAAAATTAATAAAAAAGCATCGTGTTGGTAAATGCAAAATTTTTCATCAATTAATTTTACCAAAGAAAGTAGAAAAGGGTACAAAGGGTAAAAAAATATCTGGTCAGCCGCCTTTTCAATTCTGATGTAGATCATTTTGTACATCCAGTATAAACTTCCAAAAGGATATCTAGTTAGTAAATATAAAATTTTTCATCCAAAGACTACGTAGGTAAGGTAAAAAAAAATAAATTAAGACATCTGGTTAATAAATATACAAATTTTCATTAAAAAGCTGTGGTAAATAAAGACAAAGCTAAAAGTGAAAAGAAACAAAACTGCCCTTAATTCTACAGAACATCTAGTATATGGAAAAAAGCGACTTTTCTTCAATAGATTTAAAGAAAAAATTAAAAAAATGTATAAGGAAAAATCTAGTCCACTTGTGTAAGTTTTAGGAAACATCATGTACATAAATTACAAAAAACACCTGGTCGGTAGGGTATAAGATGGATTTTCTAAAAAGCGGCTGCTCAATAAATATACAACTTCTTCAAACGATTTTATGAAAAAAATTAACAAAATGAATAAGGGAAAATCTGGTACACCTGTGTCAGTTTTATGGAATATCCTGTACATAAATTGCAGGAAACACCTGGTTAGTCGGGTATAAGGTTTTTCATAAAAATATTGTAGACTTCAGTACAAAATATAGAAAAGAAAAAAACATTAAGGAAAGTTTCGTTCTATTCGTAATTTTAATCTGCATCAGTATTTTGGAACACTCAGTATAAAGATTTAAAAAGACAACTGGTTAATAAGTATACAATTTTTCATTAAAAGACGTTAGTAAATAAAGACAAAGTTAAAAGTGAAAAGGAAAAGAATTGCTCATATTTTAGAATGTGGATGAATATTATGGAACACCCAGTACATATATGGATTTTCTAAAAAGCGGCTGGTCAGTAAATATACAACTTTTCTTCAAAAGATTTCATGAAAAAATTAACAAAATGAATGAAACAGCCTACCTGTGTCAGTTTTATGAAACATCCAGTACATAAATGTTTCAAAAAGCAGTCAGTAGGACAAAATTTTCCATCAGAAATATTGGAGTCAATAAATTTTCGACTGTTCGAACAATTTTTTTGGACACCCTGTATTGAAATACCTCATTAATTTTTAAAAAATCGGTTTAAAGGTAACCTCCTAATTTCCATTAATGGTAATGAGTGCGAGAAAGACGAAATTGCTTTGTCTCTCAGCGTATCTAATCTTCTAAACTACAATCATTCCGTTAGTCGGTAAACTGTAAACTTTATTTGGTGTCTGTAATACCGGCAGGTTACGGAAATGTCAAAATCAGACTAATAAAAATGGTATTTTGTGAATATCTTATAAGATAAGAGAAACTGCAAATGTAATTACTGAAATAATTCTAAATTATATTTAGGAGTTTGAAATAGACCATATAGCCGTGAAGTAATGTGTAATATTGATTTAATGCCCAATTGAAACATCTACCTAATATGAATAAGCGGAAATTTAAACGAAGAATGAAGTATGCATATATGTATACAATTGGATTGAAAATTGGTTTTTGTGATATTATAAACTACAACTTGTATAAGTTGTTAGTATGGAGCAGCTATTTGAAGAAAGATATGAATTAATAGGAAAAGTACAGTGGTGTTTAAGTAAATGGATATTAATAAAAGCTATGTGGCGAGCCTTTTGTTTTTTGTAATGTGTCCGAGATGAAAACTGAAATAAAAAGAAATCTATAGTAATGTGTTCAGTGACACCTAATACAAATTTTCCATCAGAAAGTGATTGCAATTGTATATTTTTAAAAGAAAAAATGTCATTAATTTTATTCGAAATGGAAGGCAATTTTTAATCATTTGTTTTTTTTTTTGTTAGCTTAAATAGACTTGTTTATGATAGAATGAATCGGAAATTGTAAATGTTCGTTTGAAACGAACTATAGGAAGTTTTTATTAAGAATAAATTTTGTTAATTTGTAATACAAAATTGGATAATAAAGTTTGAGCAAGTACCTATATATTCTGTATAATCTCTATATTAAAATAATAATGTTTAAAAAGTATTTTATTTTTATTTTAATAGGCATAAGTTGGTACATACAATCTATCAGTATTTATCTGTGTTTGAGTTAATTGCAGGAGGGAACAATAATCTCGAATTATACAGAAATGTCATGGACTTAAACGTGAAAGCTTATTGGCTAATCGTAGAAGTAAGAACTAATTTTTGACATTTTAACCAATAAGGGCTCGCGCTTGAGGTTTATGAGTTTAATATACAACATAGTAAACAGATGCGGGAAATTATTTAACTACCATTCCTCATTCCTTTACCTTTTTTGATTCAATGATAATGCATAACCTTAATATTGTCAGTTTCTGTGTTTCTGAAATCTATATAAATAATGTATTAGAAACGGAATCATATTGTAGCAAGGAAAAAAATATAATCATATATGGAAAGTAATTGTAATATTATAGTACTACATTAAAAATAATAAATATGATTATTCCCAAAGTTTATGGGAAATGTTTCTATTTGAAAACTGTTTTGAAAAGGTAACTAATATAATTTAGCATTTTGAAGTGGCATTTTTAGGTCATATAATAATGTTTCTATATACTTGTACTTGTTATATGTACTGACTAATATTATATTACAGTTTCCATGAAATAGTAAATACCCGCTAACGTTTTGATAATTCCTTTTTAATGAAAATTATTGGATATTTATTAAATGCAGGTAAGTAAGAGAAAATGTGTTGTTTAATTCATATTAATAATATGCAATTTCAGGTTAATGATTTTTAGAAGAATAAGAAGTTTCTAATTTAGAGTAAGATAGATTTCTTTTATGAAATAAAAGATTTGAGAAAAATAAAAAGGAAGAAATTTAAAGTTTATATAAAATAAAATATCAATGTTGGTGGTTATTTATAATCCAAGAGATCAGCATGCATTGTAGGTAAATGTTGACTGCGAAAACAGCTACCCAGGGCACATTCTCAGATCTGCAGGCGAGGGCTGCATTAAAGATTTAACTAAAAGTTGTGGGGAGGTGCAACATTCATATCTTATTCTAGGCACTCATGACCTTAAGTATAGCACTGGAGACAACATTATTGCATCGTGATATGTGAAATATTTTGTTAGTTTTGCTGAAGAACTAAAATATTAATTGTGATTTATAATAAAAAATATTTATTCTGTATGTAAAAATACTGTTGACGTTGATTGTTGTGAGAAATATGAAATCCCACAAAGATAATGTACTGTAGATCCATCGTATGTGGTAGAGATAAAATCTGTTGTAGTAGATTAAAATTTCAATGTTATAAAGTTAAATTGAAGATTAAAAAAATGTTTTAATGCAGTTGACATGTGACAGTAGAAGTAAGCTTTTGTATTTAGAAAAATTAATGTCATTTTAAGCACAAAAACTCTGGTACAGTACTTAATGCAGTATTTATTCAGATGTATGTGTTATTGATTATAATAAATAAAAAAGAATGTGTATTATTTACTTGAAATAATGTCCAGAGAATAATTGGAATAATACATTTATCTAACATTTCTGACTATACAAAAAATGAAAGAGTGGTAAGTAGGTACCTGATCGAACCTCTCAAAGTCGAGTTATTCTGATATGCATAAAAACACTACTTTATTATAAAATAGAATATTAGTTTATTTTTTAGGGATACTGTGTAACCTATAATATTGTATATTTTGTTTGAGAATAATTTATTAGAAACGTTTTCATGATAAATTTATGTAGGTATCAACTTTTCCTTTCAATTATTTTAGTTATCCCAATTGTGTTTTAATTATATGATATTCAAAGGTAAAGGACTTTTTTTTATTAATTATATACATTGTATTTTGAAAGTGAGAAACTCTAGAGCTTAGTATCATACATTTTTTTTAAAGTAAAATAATCGAAAGAACCTGAAGTTATGGTATAAACTAAAAATATCCAGTGTTACTATTACATTCCAATCATTCCATATATAGAGTATTTTTAGAATAAGAAAAATATCTTGAAAAAAAGCTTGCTTTTTGAACGACATAAAAAATATCTTATATACATATTATAATTTGAAAATTCCTCTTGTTGAAATTTAGTGGCTGTTAGTGAGAATGTTTCGTCCACATCTCCGTGGTTGATATAATTATGTACTATAAAAAGAAGTCCATAGGAATGTGTTCAGTGATACCTAATACAAATTTTCCATCAATTAATTTTTGTAGAATTAATAATTGTATAGATAGAAAATGACTAATTGTATCTTTTTAAAAGAAAAAAATAAACAAATTACTGTATTTCTTATTGTATAAACTGAAAGTAATGATTTTATAATTGTTTTCATTATAAGAAATTGTTTTTTTACTGGTACATAGGCATGTATGAAACCATCTTAGAAATTTTTAAGTTATATACCGGTTTAAGTTTTTTGTCTTGATTTGAAATTAATAAAATATTCAATCTCAATGCAGTATACTATAGGTACAGGTATTAAGTACAATTAGTATAAATTATAATTACTTTAGATAAAAGTTCTAATGCTTTGAATTAAATTGAAATAGGTAGGTAGAACCGTCATATGTAATCTGCAATATTGAGGCTAGAAGTTTCTGAAATTTATTTTAACTGTATTCTAAAAAATTCTTCAAACCATTTTTGAAAATATTAGGTAATTAGAAAAGATGGGCACGTGAAATATTTTTTTTTATTAGTAATCCATAATATATTTAACATTATATATGTTTTGTGAAAAATAAATGTAGTACCTAATAGTTCTATACTTACTGGGTTGTAAGTTAAAATATGTAGGTTTTATTAAAAAAAATAGGGTAATTTTGAAAAATAAGAAATGTTATTAAAGAATAATATAGTGGGGTAAGTATATATTGTTTTTTTCAAATTCACTGAAATATCAGAAATATCACTATAAGTGAAATAGCAAACAATTACTTACCTGCAGGTATACAAAGGTGTTGAATGAAATAGAGTTCTAATAAAATAACAATTAATAATATTAACTGTACTGTAACTGTAATATTAATTTCATATTTTCGAATAGTATTTCTGTCTTAACTTGCTAGTCAAAAGATGACCTATTCTTTTCTTGAATTCCATAGGAAACTGAAAGTGGAGCCTTAAAAGGACTAACACCTTGTATATCATACCATATTTTGTAGTAAAATGTTTTTATTAACTTATTAGTTTTATAAATATGAAAAGAAATTTTAGTAGTATTTCTAAATAATTAAGAATTGGTTATCCTATTCAATTAGACACATATTTTTCATATAGAAGTAAAAGAAATTAATATTTGTCAGTACATTTTGCACAACTCATGAGATTTAGGACATTTATCTGTTGATACATTGTATCATCATTAGCAAAAAATTATAGTTTCATGAGTACCTATTCGTTGTAGTAAATACATTCTTTATTGAGAAAAATATAACATGAAGACAGACTTACTTACATGTTTAGCTAGCTAATAAAATTACAGGTATACCTAAAAGATAGAAAATCTGCGAGTTCAGTTTTTAACACACGTTTCACTTTTCCATAACATTTTTACATTGCACTTGC